CTTTCTTTCTTTCTTTCTTTCTTTCTTTCTTTCTTTCTTTCTTTCTTACAGGATGAAGAGTTTTGGCACAATTAAAATTTGACTTTACAAATACAGCCTTACAAGATATGTGGTCTGAAGACAATTATTAAGGGTAAAAACACTGCTAAAAAAATGATTGGTTATGATAGACTGTTTTGAGGGTATTTTCTTTTAAATACTGTCCTGACAAATTTGAGTTGTGCTGGTCTGGAGATTTAGTGGCTAATAATCATAACGCTGGGTAGCATTTTATGAGTACTGGTCCTGCCAAGGCTGTATGTTATGTATCATGTCATTTAACCCCTCACAGATTTATGGTAAATCAGCACTTCCATTAACCCTTATAGACGAGGAAACAAAAGTATAGGAGAAGCAGAACCAATAATGAAACCACTTGGTTTGGCTGATATTTGTAAAAGAGATGTTGTGAGTCAGGAGGGCCATCAGGCTTAGAAAGGCTCTGAAATAGAAATGTTCAAAACATCTTTGGATTTGTTGTTCATTTAAAAAAGCACCAAACAAATATGGAGGACCGTGTTTAAGCAATACAACATGGCACTTGATGAATAACGAAGTCTCTTTTTTGTCTCATACTAACTCCCATTGTACCCCTCTTAATACGTAAGTTCTCTCTAGTGTTCCTAGCAAATATGATACACACATACATTAAAACACATTTATATTGGAGCAGTTTTCTCTAGTTTCTTTTTAATGGTCTATAGAGGTTCATGGTATAAAATAATACCTTCTATAGAGCTTACATATACTGTCTCTCCTGGTCATATGGCAACTACTGGAGAGACATCAAACAGCCCAGGGAAGTCACCTAGCTTGGTGTTTGCCGAGGATTACACGTGGCCTGAGACCCAAGACCAAGTCTATCACTGCTAACATTGTAATAGCTCCGAAATACACCCATATCCCTGCACTTTGGCACAGCAACCACAACTTTCTGGAAGAGGTGGAAGAGGTAAGAGTACTACCCATCCAGAACATTATCGAGTCAGGCAGCAAATTTACATGAACCTTAGGAGCATACAAAAAGCCAAGGGGCTGTAGCTTAGCCCTGTGCCTAGGGCTTGACATATTCACGTCCTTTTCTCTGCGGATGAGGTGAGACCCTGAGTGTGAATGCATGTTTAGAGCTTACAGCAGGGCCGTTTTCTTCCTTGCGGAGAGTTCCAGAGGGGAAGAGAAGTAGCTTCTAGATCAGTGGTTCTCAACCACCGTTTAATACAGTTCCTCATGCTGTGGTGACCCCCAACCATATAATTAAGTCCCTAACTGTAATTTGCTACTGTTATGAATCATAGTGTAAATGTCTTATATGCAGGGTATCTTGTATGTAAGACCCAAAGGGGTCATAGCCTACAGGTTGAGAACCATTGCTTCAACAGAAAGCAGAAGATTCTAGACGGAGCATCCAAACACCTCTGAGAAAGGCTAACAATTTCCCAGTGGTGGGATAATAATCATCCGAGGTGAGGCGATCAGGACACTGAATTGATGAACACAGTGACTTCGGGGGCCTGGATGCCCAGGAGGGTGTGTTTTAATGACAATTCAGCTTTTGCTGAATGACCATCAGGTGTTCATTCTGCTCTTTGCCTGGTGCCAGGGCATCTCTAACAAACCTCACAGACGTTGTCCCCAGGCTTTCAGACTATGAAATACATGGCACTGTGCACACCACCGTGGATGAAACCAGCACATGTCCCTTCATGCATCCTGTAACCATGCAGTGGACACATGATGAACAAAAACTTTGTACTCACTGACCACATCTGTTATTTCTTCTTTACTCTCTAGAAATTACATATGTAATTGAAATATTTATTAAAAAGGAGGTCCTGTCATTTGTAAGCACACGGGGAAATCTTTAGGCCATTGTGCTAACTTTCATAGAAAGAAAAATGGCCATCATGAAAACTAACATTGATTTACTCCCACTGGTTAGAAGAAATTGTTGGGGTTCATAAAGCAGATTAGCCGGTATTTCTAAGGATGGCAAAATAGCCATTTTCTTTCTTTTTGATGAAAAGGGATGAGTCAAATTAAGAAAAGCAGCAATGATTAGACTATGGCTACAGACATGCTAGGGAAGCCACTGCTTGCGGAATCTAGCCTGACTTTTCCATCCTTACTTTTCATCAGAATGTCGAGGCAGAGTTTTGTCTGTAAAAGATCTTGGGAGAAACTCCCAAAGATAAGCAAGATTCTTATTGACAGCTTAGTGAATCAAGAGTCCATTTAAAAAAAAAAAAAAGCAATCCAGCACTTTAAGTTTGAAGGACCTCCACATCTCCATATTCGGCATCACATCTGATCTCAGTCAACAACTGTTTCCATCCCCCTAAAGTATCAAAATGACCCTGAGCTGAGTCACGAATTTATCCTTGACTCTGAGGGACAGGACACTTGGCAGAACCCTGCTCAGGGTCTCTGGATTTGATTCCATCTCTCAGATTGCAAGAACATTTTCTCTTTCTTGCTTCTAAAGATGAGAACACTTTGAAAGTCTTTCTCCCACTTCTGGACACCAGGGTTTGGTCTTTAAAGGAGCTGAAGTGGTAAGAAAGCTTAAAGAATCTTCTGGAAGAAAAGAGTATGCAGGAGAAGGACCAGAGGGTTAGAGGAATGCTGCCAGCCTTGGAAAGAATCACCCCAGTTGTTACACTGCCGTCTTCTTTGATTCTTATCTATTGGCCCACCCCCATCTTTCCTTTTTGCTCGCCACAGTCCCCCAGACCTTCTGGAATCAAAGTTCTTGGGAAAGGTACCACACCCTCAGGATGGTCAAAGCCCAGTGCTGGACATCACAGGGCTAAGGGGGAGCAATTTCAAGAGGTCCTATTCTGAGCTGCATAACAGCGCTTGCTTGTGTATGGAGCTAGGCGAGGCACTGCTGAAAGCCTCATCATCTCTGGGGCACTGTGGTGAGGTGGTGGTCCCTGATCCCATCATGCTCGCCTTAATTGCAGCTGTTGCCTTGGTTCTGTGCCAGCTGCTTGGAACAACTGTGGCTTTGCAGATGGACTGTAGAGGCTGGATACAAGGTATTATGTCAACATTTCAGTAGATTGGGGTCTTGTGAGGACAGAGAGAATTCCTCTGACTTCCTTTTTTTATGTAGAAAAGAAAACTTTTCCAGGGCTGTTGTCTTTCCTAGAATTCCCTCTTTAAAAACATCTTTTGGGAATATAATTGGATATTAGTAATGCTTTCTGGTTTACTTAAAAAAAAAAAGCAAAATGCAATTTGGAGATGGGTGTTGTCTCTGATAAGATTAATTGGAAATGACTAGTGTAAAAATAGAATTTGTGATGCATGATTAAGCATCCTGATGTGTGTGTGTGTGTGTCTGTGTGTGTGTGTGTGTGTGTGTGTGTGTATGTGTGTGTGCGTGCTGTTACATACAGATGTGGTTATGAAATAGTTCAAATCGGGGCCCGCTGACTGTCCTCACTGGACTTTTAGGAATGTGTTCACTGAGACAGCCAATTTTTATTTCATTTGATTTGGCTCATTGCACTGGCTGTGAATCAGAAATATTCATTTTAATATCTGGGTGGAAATTTATTTACAAACACACTGCTGCAGTTCTTCTCTCAGAAGGTTTAAAGTTTTTGTTTCATTTCCCCCAAATTTTGCTTTCTAGTTTTTCTTTCTGTCCTTACTTTGTATTAGAATATGTTGAAGAGATTTTCTAGAATTAAAAAAAAAATCTGTCCCAATCAACAGACAAATGTATTATCTTTCATGTGGTTTGCATTTCATGTTTGGTGAGAACAGTGCTGGGGATCAATCTGGAGCTGATTATGAAATGCTTTTCAAAGATGCAGTGATTTGTTAAACTGTTATATTTCTACTACAAGTACAATTTAATATTTAAGTGTTATCAGTTAGTTCTGAGTTTTTTTCTTCTTTAGCCAGTCATGGCATGATTCTTTAAAAACAAAGACTCACGAAGGAGACAGATATATATCTTAATGGATGTTCTACCATCTATCAGCCAACAGACTTGAATAAGTTAGTCAGATCTTTGGGGTTTCAGGTTCTGACAGTGGACCCGGATAAGCCAGCTCACTGTTTATGGTATCGAGACAAGACAAGGAGTCGAGCTCCCTGAGTGCATTCTCTAGCTTAGGAGAAGTGTGTGACACAAGGTGACTGGCCACTGTGAGCAATCATGGCAGGATCAGTTCACAGTCTCCAGCATGGATTCCTTTCTCTGCTTTCTCACACAGATACCTATGGCAACTCCAAGTTCACTTTTCAAATCCATAGCGAGATAATATCCACAACAAAAATTTACTGCTTGAACCATCTAAAGTATGTAGTTCCATGGAATTAGGTCCATTTACGTTGCATGAGCAGAATTTTTTCGTTTCTCAGTTTGAAACTGTGACTTTTAAGCTATCACTCCCTCACCTCCCCATGGCCTTGGTAGCTTCTACACTGCCACCACTGTGTACCTCCGTGACTGCAACTATTTTCGGCAGTTCATGTACCAGAGTCATTTTTATCCTTTTGTGTCTGGCTTATCTCACTAGCATTGTGTCTTCCGGGTTCACTCATGTGTTGTAGATACTGTTATGCCATTCTTTTTAAAGGCGAAATGGCAATTCTGTTGTATTTGTACGCCACCTTTTGTTTGTTTACATCAGCAGGCTCTGAGTTGTCTCTGCTCTTTGGCTGTTACGAGCAATGTTGATTTGAGTGTGGACATGCACGCATCTATCTGAACGCCTGCTTCAGTCATAGACATATAGGAATTTTTGGTGATGGAGACTGAGCCTAGGACATTGTCCTAGTTTCATCTCTGTTGCTATGATAAAACACTGACCAGAAGCAAGAGAGGGCAGGAAAGGATTTATTTTGTCTAATCGGTTACAATGCTGACAGAAGTTCTGGCAGGGTCTCAAGCAGGGATTCGAAGCAGAAACTGTGGAGGAGTGCTGCTTGCTGACTTGCTTAGAGGCCCAGGCTCAGCCAGCTTTCTCAGGACTCTTCGCCCGATGCTGCCCACAGTCCTGTGTCAGTTAACCATCCAGACAACCGCCTACCTCTGCACCCACAGGCCAGTCTGATCTGGGTAATTTCTCAACCTTCCCTCCCTCCACTCGGTGAGTATGTCTCTGAAAGAGGAATTGCTGAGTATCTCACCCCAGTTTGATTTCAACTTGACTTTAGTACTTCATTTACAACTATCTGCTGGACAGTTGGATGGTGTCTTACTGAACTCCCTCTTGACATGTTTAGAATTATTCTACACATGCTCTTCCCATCCTCCTTCCGAATCAAATCCTCTTCCTGATTAACAGTGAGCACAGCCTTCAGGACATCCTGAAGCAGGAGCCTTTCACTTCCTCCTCCTCTTCTAGCCCCAGCTATTTGGTAATCTGCTTAAGCCTTGCTTATCTTCTTTAGCTTCATGAACTTTACTACTTAAAGGCAATTTGTGCCTATTTTGATACATAATTATGAATACTTCTAATCCTTCATTTTTTATGTCAGTCATTCCTACATTCCCTCTTTCAATTAAAAATCTTCTGAACTCTCCCATCTTATTAAATCCCTTGGCAGTCTTCCGTTTCTTCTGTTGGTGGTCCCAATACCACTATCTGAATCTGTTTTTCAGTTTTGTCTGGCTTTCTCTCATAGCATTTTCCCCCCTTTGGTACTAGGGATTGACGTGTGTGACACTAGCAAGATGACACTTCACTTACTGGGTAGGGGTAAACTCAGGAATTCCCCATTTTCTTCAGGGTATAAGGAGGGTAATACCCAAGACCCTCTGTAAATAGTAGCATCATCCAGAGACATGGCCTGTGACTTTCATCCTTTGATGCAAGTCTTTGTTTTTAAACTCCAGTGTCCAATATTAGCTTGATATATCTTGCATATTTTCAAATTAAGGGCAATGACATCAGGTTGGCTATGTTAATGCCCTGTTTTACTTTCCTATGCATAAGCATCCTTGGTCTCAGAACCCTGTTTGGTCAGATAGTTGCTGAGAATCCTACTATGATTGCCAGAAGAGCTTGTTGGACAAGTTGAACCTTGGTTCAAGGTTGCAGGGATGGATGAGTTCAGTCTCTAACGTGAGGGAAGATTTTGGTTCCAAACCCAGCAAATACGTTTTGCTGAGTGACTTTGAGCAGCCTTAAAACCTTTATCACAATCCTGCAAGTGTGAAATCTGGATTGATAGAATCCCTTTTTCATAAAGTTGATGGAGGATTAAATCAAGCAATCCATGCATTATATAGCACCGGGCACGTCATATTCAGAAGGTTGGTTATCATGGGGAGAGTGATCAGAGGAGCTTGTGAAAGGTCTCCAGGCAGGAAGTGAGATGAACGAGCAAGCAGAGCATGCTCTTTCCAAGATGCTGCTACTCCAGCCTGCCTGGTGCCCATTTTGTACAGCAGAGCTTTGAAAATCTGTCCATGGCTTCTATGATCTTTTCAAAACAATCTCAAAGTATGACTTCTCATGTTCATGTCTTCCATACCTTACCTTATGGTCCCTCTCAGTCACGATGGTTTGGCTCTACGTTTATTAAAGTTGACAAGGACGTGAAAGCTTTATGTATTCAGTAGACGCACTTTGGGTGGGGAATTCTGATTCTATCTCAAGCCAGAAATGTGCAGTTTGACTCTGTTTGTGAAGCTGGGCAACAGCAGCGATCACCGCAGGTAAATGTCGGGCTTCAGAGTGCTTGTGTTACACGCGCAGGATGCTTGGAAGGCCTGATGTGTTAAGCACACTTTTCAGTTGTGACATTTGACATGTGTCAGGTTTATCAGGATATAACTCTGTCATGTCACAGGCTATCTACAAAACCCCCTACTAAGAGTCAAATGTCAGTTTTTTCTTGCTTCAATGTCTGCAAGGTCTAAATGTAAATCTAATGTAAATTCTCATAGGATTTAAAGCTGTGTTTTACATCCTACAGATACTTATTGAGATTTAAAGAAATAAATCCAGGTTTCATTTCTTGTTTGTCATTTTAAATGATTTAGGTTCAACTCCTGAATGTTTCAAATTCTGATGAGCTCTTGTTAAGTTTATGAAAAAAATTTGCTAAGGGTCTCTAATAAAGAGAAGGTGAACATATCTGAGTTCATAGGTTTTACCTAAGCAATTGGATCAGTGAGATATATGACTCAACAGTTAAGATCACTGGCTGCTGTCTTAGAGGACCCAGGTTCAATTCCCAGCACCCACATGGCAGCTCACAACTGTCTGTAACTCCAGTTCTAGGGGATCTGTCACTCTCACCCAGACATACATGCAGGCAAAAAACCAATGCACATAAAATAAGAATAAATAAATCATGTTAGGGGCTGGAGAGATGGCTCAGTGGTTAAGAGCACCGACTACTCTTCCAGAGGACCTTGGTTCAATTCCCAGCACCCTATGGTGGCTTCCAAACATCCATAATTCCAGTTCTAGGAGATATGACTCCTTCTTCTGGCTTCCACAGGGACCAGACATGTGTGTGATATACATACATGTAGGCAAGATACTCATACACATAAACAAATTAAAACTTTTTTGTTGTTGTTTCTCGAGAGAGACAGGGTTTCTCTGTGTAGCCTTGGCTGTCCTGGACTCGCCTTGTAGATCAGGCTGGTTTCTAGCTCACAGAGATCTACCTGCTTCTGCCTCCTGAGTGTTTGGATTACAGGCATGATTAAACAATTTTAAAATGAGAGATTAAAATCATGTGAAATAAATGACAATGATATGCAACTAGTGAGCCAAGAAGGTAGCTCAGTGAGGAGAAGCTTTTGCTGCTTAAGCCTAAAGACCTGAGTTC